ATCATTTACCCTTGCACATAATCACAAAAATATAAAGATAACAAATACAAAATAACATTTACAATAAATGAAGAAAAAATACAATTATGCTCGAGTTAACTAAAATTTTTGAAATACTCACCATTGTCTTCTTGGAAGAGATTGAACAATTTTCTTCGTAAATGATCTTGCATTTTGTCAAATATTGACAAAAATTGTGCATAAAAAAAAATAAAGAGTAAAGAATTTCTTTTAGTTTTTGGAACTGAAAATGTTGACCTCGTTGTTTTGTAGGGAAAGAGTGGCCAACGGCTCCTAAAGCATTTCACGTCCATGTAAGCCTACTATTGCACAATAGGACAAATCGTTAGCTCCACACGGCCAACTTCCAACTGTGGAGGAGGTGGTCGGGATTACTCCGACAATCAAGTCAATAGATTATATAAATATTTGAATGTGAGACGTGTTTTAGATGTAAGCCACTTATGTAAAAAGGGGTTCGGTTTTAGGAGAGTATGTGAAAAATATAGAGCGCAAAGTTATAGTTTTGGAACTCTTAACTTGCATTACCTGTGAATGACACAAAATTATGAGCTTTTATACTAGAATGAGATAAGTAAGAATCGTTGGATGAAAAGAAACATGACCTCATTCGAATGGCCAAGGCATTTTTCCATAGGCATCAATCAATCAAATGCAATTAGTTTATAGCCCTCTTTACCGCCCTAAACCTACTGCATAGGCCTTTAGACTTGACATTCTAACTTGTTATTATTACTATTGTATTAAATTGTCACATCAATCATTCATTGAAGATTTTACATAAAAAATTCTCTGCTAAGCCCCTACTTGACTCACTTCATCCACGTAACCACGTATGCTCCACCTTCCACATGTTTGGCCTCTTCATAAGGGTTCAACCAAATCAACACATGGGCCATATGACATGAATTGTGGGCCCAAACTCGCTTACTGTGTGACTATCATGTGGTCATATTTGAAGTCTCGTTGGAAGAGGCATAACAGAAAATAAAAGGATCAATATGTGTAAAAGATGAGGTTAGGTATTTAACTTATTATATTGTCAATTTTTCCCTTCAAAAATTAGCATTTGTATCTCAAGTGAGGAAATTTATGCTGAAGTTGACGGAATTTTGCAAAAAAGATTAAATATGCAAACGGAAAGAAAGGTTGAAGACTGAAAATTCAGATTTTAAAGGTTAAGGATTAAATGTTAAAACTTCTCAAAGAAAAATGAAAGCTGAAATATGTAAAGGAAAGAAAAGTTGAGGACTGAAAACTCAGATTTTAAAGGTTGGGGACTGAATCCCAGAATTAAGTACGGCCTGGCCCCCGCGGAGCCTCTCGCCCTCCGACAATGATTTTCACCGTCATACGGGTGATTGAGAATGTGAGATCAATTCATACGCAGTGACAAGATTTGTCTGAATTCGTTACACATATTTCTTGTTCTTGCCATATTTAGAGTCAGAAGCCTGAAATTGAAAAATCTTTGGAAAAAAATGGAGTCATTTTAATATGAGTGTAATATATTTCTTGGTGGAGGACTAAGTGAAGTATCTACCAAATAAGGCTCAAACAAGGGGGCTTAGTCAACATAACCAAGTTATTATTTTCAAGAAAAATAACAAAAATGCTAGAGGAATAAATGATCAAGCAAGTTGTGCAGTATTTTTTTTTATACAACGACACCATCAAAACACAGTTAAACTCCGTACAAAGTTTCGACTCTCCCATAGTGAGAGTTTTATGTTCACGTAATTTCTGTATTTTCTTCATTAGCTTCAAAAAATGACATGACAAGTGTCTTATCTCGATGTAATTTTAAACTCGTGCCAACATCTGCTGGGTCAATATACGAAATCGTGGTCTTTGAAGGGTTGATGGATTGCAGGGTTTACCCATGAATGAAATAAAAAGTTCTAAAGTTTAAGTTGGTATGAGCATATTAAGTTTTATGCTGCATTCGTTAAATGATCAAGACAACACATATGTTTAATTTATGTTTGTTATTGTTTTGACAATGCATGTTATTAATTTATAATCAATAATATTGTGTCCCACGAGATGCAAATCATTTTATGAACGTTTTTATCCAAGCTATAATGACAATATTTTCCATTTTTCAGTTATTCTCCTTCTATATAATTAAATGATTTATGCTATTGTTACAAGGTTGGAGACATGGATAAAAAGCAGGGGCTAAGGTGCATGGAAATCAAGGGTTGAGGTGCATCCACCTCAGTCCCTGTTTTGAATCTGTCACCAACCCTGTATGAGTAGCAGGGCTCTAATTAAATTGTTAAATTGTTGTCACGTGGTAAGTGGAGGATTGAAAGATAGACTTGGCGATTTCAGATAAAGAAAGAGAAATTAATATATATGTGATGTATTTTTGGATATTTTTTGTAGTTACTAGTATTCAATATGTGTCTTGCAAGTGATTTTGTAAAGGTGATGTGAGATTTTTTTGTCTGACTATTTAAACAATTACAGTTCAATCGAAAATTGTAATTGAAATACAATAATATTGTCAACAATGGCCTTAATTTCCTCATTTAGAAAATTAAATTTCACTTGGTTGACACTTACAAATTATCAACAATGACTTTAATTTTTTCTATTTAGAACATTTTTCCACATTCTTTGTGAGTGGATACCTTGTATTTCTTTCTTTACCAATCGACTACTTAGAAGATGGTAAATCCATAGACATGTTGATTTTTTTGTAACGGGATATGTATTCTCAATTAACATTTTTGTGAGAAAAATTCTCTCATTTCATCTAGTGTAATTCAATAATTCAATCTGAACATAAGCATCCTTTAAGAAAAAAATGCAATGTAACTTGAAAAGAAGAGCAAAAGATATCTCTTATCTTCCTTAAGGTGAAATCTTTATTGGTCTTATTGTAAATAACATGAAGTGATGCTTTACCCTGGTCATATATCATACTTCAATAATAAAAAATCTTCAACCATAATATGTTCATCCCTGGCTTGTGTACGAGCTTAACTTGGTTAATCCGCATATCTATAACTCCTCAATTTCAACTACTCAGAGTCCGGTGATGAACTCACATTTTGCGCTGGGGGATTCTTGCTTCTGTCTTCCTCTTTCTGGCACTTGCATTTCGACCTCGAATTCTCATTGTTGGTCGTGTCTCCATTGTACCCACAACCATAACCAATATCCTTATCCACTACAATCTCTTAGTGCATTTCGATTTTGCCTTTCTGATGGCTCAAAAAACAAACAAACACAAAAGTATAAGAATACAGAAATCAATTGTAAAACACTGGAAGGTCAACTTGTGAACCTATACACCATTGATGAGTAGTGACTTATAAAAAATATTTTTCTTTTAAGATAATAAATACAATCGTGCTACATATACATTCTCCTATACATTAAGTTTGACACTCTTCCATATGACATCCATCAAGACCATTGATTTCTACCGCACCTATCGCATTACTGTCTAGATTTTGACACATGTGGAAAAATATCAAGAAGAATGTAACAACAACGTACATATAGATTAATTCTAATGCATAATAGATATGTTGAGAGAAACACCTTTCATTAATAATGAGAAGAACAATAAAAGTTTTAGATAAACATTTGTTAACAACACAAAAAGTCTTACACCAAATTACAATATTTAAAAGAGAGATTTCTATTTTTTCCTAGGAATAGAATTTGGACTTTGTCATTTTTTTCTTAGTGATTCAGAATAGAAGAAGTATTCAAATATAAGAGAATGGATAGGGATTTTGATTTCTAATATCTTAGTCCTGGTATATTCCTTTTATTTTATTAGAAGGGTTTCTCTTGATTAAATAGAGAAAAAGAAAACTATTCTCTCTCCCTCGCCGCCTTCTCCCATTTCTTTGACTAAAGCTTCCTTCGCTTCATAGGCAAAATTCTTCATTCTTGAAAGTTCGTTTATTAGTTCTCTTATTTTCTTCTACATTTTGAGAGACGCGACATTTAAGTCATTGTTGGATAAATTGGAACATGAATCATATTTCGTTAACAAAAATATGTTCATGCAAATAAGGATAGAGTATTGACTTACTGAAATCATGGTATGTATATAATAATGAGCAAGTTACAACTTACTCAAATGTGGAAATAAGAAGGAGATGAAATAAAGCGAAATATACGAATGCGAATCTTCTTAAGATAGATTTTGCCTCCTGCATTGGTGTTAACAAGATCAAAATGGACAAAATACACGTTTCTATAGTACCGTATTAAACTTGTTGGGCTAACAAATGCTTCACCGTGCTCTTCAAGAGCAGAAGATATTGAATACGGAACTCAAAAATAATTTGAAATTTATTTTAACAAAAATTAGAGAAGGAAAGAATTATAAATCAATTATATGAAATTGATTTGGTGTGAAAAAATGAAATTAGAATAGTTCTATTTATAGATTTTCACGTGTCTCTTCAAACGGTCACATCTTTTTGGCACAATTAAATTTAACCATTCGATCGCACTATTTTTATATTTAATAGTGTAGATTATACCCTATTAAAAGATTATGACTTTTCATCATACACATTTTTGAATAACCACAGATCTCGAAATAATATGACTCCTTGATTTGCACCATTTGCAATTGAAGAGCCGCAATTAGTTATCGCACCACTGAAAACTTTTCTAATTCACTCCAATAAATATCCCATAATTCCAATAGTAGTATGTATTGTTTAAAGGCATCAACTAGAGTCTACAAAATAATGTCACTAGAAATGTCAGAGCAAGTTAGCGGATCAGAGAAGCCCTATGTACTGGGTTCTTGTGCAGCTGAAAATAAAAATAATCATACTACATGTACAATATTTGTTGACAATCATCATTACATTTATCCATTTCAAAAAAAAAATTTAAATAGTTTTTAAAATCAACTATCTAGATTTTGCCAAATCAAACATTGTCAACTATGATTGTACAAGTAGATTAATTAAAATAAAAAAACAAAGCTTCATGTAAAATTAATTTTTTTTGCCTTTTGATATGCAAATTAATGAATAGATAACTGGTATCAATGGAGATGTTAAAATATAACATCAAAATGATGGTGGAATTTTGCAGATATTTGGTTGACTCATCTTCAGTTCATTGTCCCAATTATCTATTAAATCCACCAATAATCAATCGAAATATTTCAGCACACCAAATAAAAATTCTTTAACTTTGAAAGATGTATGTACTCAAACAAGAACTTGTGCAATTGGTGATGAAGAAAATGAACTGTAAGTAGCATGTAACTTGGCGTGTCAATGCCCAGTTACATATAGCATGACCATTCAGAAAATTGGAACCTACCAAGGATCGAAGCCTTAGGCTACCGCCTAAGACGCGTAATACTTTGAGCTGCAGGTTTTCCAGTCCTTAATATATGTACATGCATTCATTACCATATCTATCTGTTAAAACTCTAAATGCAAGTCTAACCAACGAATGAAGTCACTTAATTTTTACCTCCATAAGCTCTACAGATCCCAAAATTTCAACAATATAAAAATTTCTTGCCATCTGAATCATTCTCTAACCCAAAGCATTCCACCTTTGTTGATTTCAGGGTCGAGTAAGGAGTCAGTCGATCCCAAAACATTACCAACTCAGTTATCTAATTGCACCAATTTAAAACAACTAAACCAAATTTATGCTCATATAATTCGAACCCATTTCCTTGAATTATACCCTTTTTCATTCCATTACAATGTTGTCATCAGATCATACACTAGGCTAGAGTCACCTGTTAAGGCACTACATGTTTACGTTGCCATGTCTCATGCTGGTGTCACGCCAGATGAATATACAATTCCAATTGTTCTGAAAGCCGCGAGCCAAAATTTCGATTATGTGTTGGGAAAACAAATTCATGGGATTTCAGTTAAACTTGGGTTGGAAACTAATATGCATTGTGAAAGTGGCTTTATTAGTTTGTATTTCAAGGTGAGCAAACATGAAGATGCACTTAAAGTATTTGAGAAAAGTACTGACAGAAAGCTGGGATCTTGTAATGCTGTTATAGGAGGGTTATCGCAGGGCGGACGTGCTAAGAAAGCGGTAGTGATGTTTATTGGAATGATGAGAAATGGGATTCGGCCTGATGATATCACTATGGTTAGCTTGACATCAGCTTGTGGAAGTTTAGGTGATTTAAATTTGGCCCTCCAATTGCACAAGTGTGTTTTCCAGGCAAAAATTGAGGAAAAGTCGGATATTCTAACGATGAATTCGCTCATTGATATGTATGGAAAGTGTGGCCGGATGGACTTAGCTTCTAAGGTGTTTACAAGAATGAAGGTGAAGAATGTGTCGTCATGGACGTCAATGATTGTCGGTTATGCGTCACATGGACATGTGGGAGACGCGCTAGAGTGCTTCCGTTGTATGAGAGAATTTGGGGTAAGGCCTAACTACGTGACATTCGTTGGGGTACTAACAGCGTGTGTGCACGGTGGGACAGTCGAAGATGGAAATTATTATTTTGACATGATGAAAAATGTATACGGGATTATGCCTGTGCTACAACACTACGGGTGCATGGTGGATTTGTTTGGTCGGGCCGGAATGCTGGACAAGGCCAAGGAGATGGTGGAAAATATGCCGATGAAAGCGAATGTTGTGATATGGGGGTGTTTGATGGGTGCCTGCGAGAAGTATGGTAATGTAAAGATGGGGGAGTGGGTGGCTAATCACTTGATAGAGTTGGAACCTTGGAATGATGGAGTATATGTGGTTTTGTCAAATATTTATGCAAGTAATGGTATGTGGAAAGAAGTAGAGGGGATTAGAGAGATTATGAAGTACAGAAAACTTGCTAAGCTTCCTTCTTATAGCTTGCCAGGAGTTGAATCTGGAAACCATTAAGTTCGTGAGAAGTCGTTTGGTTTACAGTGTATCCAAACTGGATTATTTCTTACTGCAAGTAATACTTCATTGTTCATTCCCTGAGAGTTACACTTGGGAAAATTATATAACTACTAACCTTTAAAGATATACTTTCAAACTTGACTAGCTTGTGGAATTCTTTCAAAAATTAGGTGGTATTAACTAAATAGATTAATTTCACAATACCATATAATTTATGGCCACAATTACGTACTAGTCATAAATCACAAAGCATCGCTGTCGCACAGTCATAAAATGTGGGCCACAATTCCAAGTATATTTCAAAACTCTTATTTTATATACTCATTTTCAACCACACATTTACATAATAAAATATTCTGCACATAAATCTAAATTTTTTTCTTGCTTTGTAGTTACACATTTTTCAAAAAATCACTATTTAAAACATTATTTTTTCAAAGTAATAGTTGTCAAACGGGAGCTTAGTTACACATTGTACATTTTATGTGTTGCAACTTATTTATCAATCACGAGTTATCAAGCTAATTGGTTACAACTTATTTTTGAGTCGCAAAAAATATTATTCATCTCTCCTACCCCACCTGTCGACGCCATCCAAAATGTCACATCACCTCTGATCCACAACCTCCCACCACAACCACTATGCCAAAAAGAAGTTTAAAAGGGAAAAATTGGACGCTTTATCTTCTCTAATCTCTTTCTCTTTTTAATGATGATACAAAACCCAATGATTAACCTTGCACAATGATAACAATTAAACTCTACAACTTAATAAATCATGAATAACATATGGATTTATATTGATAGCCTCTCTATTGAGTTTCCGGGAACAATCTAGAAAGTTAATTAATTAAAATCGGATATAAGATACCTATTTAACATGATAAGTTGGGAGTGAGTTTGACTTGTAATTTTATAATGGATTTTGCTATTTGTACACCACCTTGTTGACAAAAAGTGTGTACGCAAAACTTTATTGGATGAAAAAATAGCGTTTTTTTTGAAATTGTTGTCAAAGAAGCTGTCAAATGGGATCTACATTGTTTTATAATACCCCCATATGGACATTTAAACTATGGGGCTAAATAGCATTGTATTAAGTTTAGCTAATGAGCTCTACGCAGACAATGCATTCAAGCATCAAGTTGAGGTACGAATTATTATTATGTCGACTCATTTGATGATGAATATTGATGCAGAAATGTGTATCTCGATCCTCTTTATATCATATTTTAATTGTAATTAAATTGATTGGAAATGCAACCTTCACATTGTGTCCTTACTCCTTACATACTTATATTTCCCAACAAACACATATAGAATTACAATTTATATGCAAACATCAGAGTTTAGGACAATTTTCAAAACCAACTATTATGAGTATCGAAAAATAAATATCATCTAAGGACATCCCTATCATTGGATAAAGCACTACAAGAAAAATAGAATTTTGCAACTAGAAGAATTTGTGCCACACGTCTTTTGCAACGTGCACCTACATATTGTAGCCTTTGATGTTGCCGTAGAATAGACAAATACGACAACAAACAATTCACGGTGTAAAAGACATCACATGCACGTTGAAGTTTTCAGCTTAATCATACCTGATAAAGAAAGGAACCAAAGAAGAGGTGAATGGTCGTGCGACGTGGCCAAGCCCTTCCTCAAAATCGGAAGAAAAGTATTAATTGAGTGACTTGTTCAAATGGAGATAAGAAAGCATTAAATGAGAGTTCTATTGAAATCAAGTGAATGAAAAGATATGAACTTCTCTAGGACATCTTAATTGGACCACCAATAATTTAGGACTTAAATTTCCTGATTAATCCATCTATTGAACTTTCTTCAAATGTGGTTGGAAGCGTGCCAATGTGGCCGAGGTGGCTTCATTTAGCGTGCTTCTATTAATTATGATGTGCTTCAAGTGTTGATTGACACACTAATCATTCTATACAATCAAATACTGTTAACTATACATATCAAACGTGAAAAGCAATTAATTACAAATTATTGCTTTGATTTAAGCCAGAAATTTGTCAAGAGAAGGAAAAAACATAAATATACGAACAAATTTTAATACCCAATTGAGAGACCACTCTAAATAATTCGGTTTTGGATTCATACATAATGGAACAATTTTTATTTTTTTTTTAAATTAATTTTTAGTTTAAGAAAGATATCATTAGACATTTATTTAGAAATTAAGCTATACATTATCTTGAACCTTGTTATCCCTAAATCCGAAAATTACTAATCGTTAATGATTTTACTACTCCTAAGGATACTCAGAAAGTGAGAAACACAATTGTAAACCGAATACAAAGGCAACATAGGTTTTTGAAATTGCACAGTAAACCAAGAGACTGGTTCCAACACTCTTTCGAGCAACGGTTCATGTTTATGTTCTTTCAACTCGAGATTATACTAGAATTTCATTTGGTTATGTTCATGGAGATATAGATGCAACTTTAGACATGCCAAAGCTTGGTTACGAACACATATTGATACATTTTAATTAGTGAATCATTGACAATACAAATCCCAAAAATTTCTCACGTACAATCCAATTGACTCTAGTGACGGGCCAACCAATTATTAACACGTATAATGACGAGGTTACATGATTTTGTAATCTTTAGCTCCTAGTTTTTGCCACATGGTAAATTATCAATATATTTTCCATTGATTGGAGGTTTGGTCGTATGCTCTAGATTTCATTTGGATATGTTCATGGAGATATAGTTGAGGCTTTAGACACATCCTCTTGTATAGTAGGTTTAGAATAAAATATTCTTTGTTAGCCTTTGTTTGACTCCCTTCATACTCATTTTCTACTACACCTTAACATAATAAAATATTTTGTATGTAAATTTAAAACTTTTCTCTACTTTTGAGTCACACATTTTTCAAAAAATAATTATTCAAAACATTATTTTTACACAATAATGACCATCAAATATGGGCTTAATTTGATTTTTTGTTGAATCTTCTCTTTATTGGGACCTATAAATACATAATGGCCTCTCATCACTCTCTTCCAATCCAATCATACCTCTCTCTTAAACAAGAACAAGCATGGAGATTAAACCAAGCCCCGCAGCAGTAATAGCCAAGAAATTATGGCACATCATAAAGACTATTCTCTACATAATGAGAAAAGGCATCTCAAAGAGCAAACTAATGTTTGATCTTCACATGATCCTTAAACGAGGTAAAATAGCAAGCAAAGCCATAGGCAACCTAAGGCTCCACCACAACTACTCTACGTTCACTTGCCAGTCGGATGAAGTTCTAACATCATTCATATCGCCCGGAGAATATGAGTTCAGCTGCAGCAATAGCCCTGTCAAGCTTAAGAATCCCCTCCACCGCCACAGCCGTTATCAAGTAGCAGAAGAAAAACGATTGGCACGAAAAGTGGGTGACATTTTAAACCATTGTGAAATGGTAGAATCATCTCCATTGACTACGCTACCAGGTTTCGGATGCAGCCCATTAGTTCGCCAATTGAGGGTGTCTGACTCGCCATTTCCATTACAAGATGCAGAAGAGAATAACCACCAAGTGGACAAGGATGCAGAAGAGTTCATCAACAAGTTCTATAAAAATTTGAAGCAACAAAAGAGAATGGCTGCCTCGGAATCTCCATCACTATACCACATATAGGCTATATGAAATTTATATTCAAGAATTTTTTCCGTATATTTATACATGGCATATCCGGTTGAGCAATTAATTCATAATGGTTTTGTCAAAGATAAAGTTCTACGCAGCTACACAATCCTTCATCACACTCCTAATATTCATCAACTTCTTGAAAATTAGTATAATGGATTTATTTTATACAAACATAAATCTAGCTTGATTGCTATTACTTTGCATTTGTATCGTATGTATCAATATTTTGCATCAAACTCGGGTTGATAAATTATTTTTAGCTCCAAGTAAAAATCTTAATAGCACAACTCAGGAGAGAAAAATTATTGATCATGTCTCAATTGGAGCAACATCGAATATGTTCACGAAAAAATATATTTCGATTTAAAACATCACAAGTGCACGGTACATTAACAAGTAATAAAGTGGATGTTGAGTTCAACTATCGTCTTACGGGAATTGATTTAGTTCAATTTATATTACTATGACCTTAACCAAAACAATAAAAATGAGAGTGTTTGTTATGATGCAAATTATAACTAAATTAAATTACGTGTGCAATTATAAGTGATTTAACTAATTAAATGCAATTAATGATTGATGCAAATTGATGTGTTCTAATAAATGACGAACATACTAGAATCGTGAATCCCCATGCAACAATCCCTTTTAACCTTAGTTTTATACTTTGACAGCACAATTGAATTTTGACGAATCAATGTTCCTATTTTATTCATCAATCACTATTGAGTAATATTGAACATTTTCTCATATATAGGGATGTCAATAGATCGAGTCGAGCCGGCTCTGCCCGTAAACTCACACGAGCTCGGCTCGCGCTCATGAAGAGTCAAGCTTGTGGCTCTTTTTTTAATATTATAAATATAGAAAAACACAAATAATTTAATGCATTTTTAAAAAAAATAATTTAATGAAGACACTTTTTTTTTTATCATATTGTAATATTTTCTATAAAGTATTAAATATTTTTATGTAATGAAGACGATTTTTTTTTTTGAAATACATTTACAAAAAATACATTTTTTTTCGATTTCTTTTTAAAGTAGATAAAATGTAAACACTCCTCCTTTATCCGGGCTAGGGAGCAGCTACATCAATTTTAAGTAGGCGGAGTTAAAAATTGTACACGAACAACTTGTTGTAACGTGTACAATTTTTTAAATAAAATTAAATTTAACGATTAAAAAATAAGAAATTTTGATTTATATAATTAATATTATTAAATCAAATATCACTTACCTGACAACGTGCAATTTCAGCGTATTTATCTTGTAATAAAAAATGAGCGTCCTGTTAATCCTTCACGTACATTAATGCTTCCAAAACATCTTCTTTCAGTTGACTCCTGATATCAGTCAAAACCCTTTTACCTACACTAAAAGCAGACACTGAAGCAATAGTGCTAACCGAAGGTGTCAGTAGATCTTTTGCAATTGTAGAAACAATTGGCCAACGTATTTCATACTTTCGCCAGAGTTCAATTACTTTTTTTGAACTTTTTTTAATTGTTTTATCTATTGGCATATTATGATTGAAGTAATCAATTAATTTGACAGGTATCGCATTTTGAGTTACGGTCGATATTTGATGAGATGCAGGTGTAGATATGGTACTAGATGAACACATTGTAGTTGCATCATATCTAAATGTATTAACGTCTTGAAATAAATATATTATTTCGGCATTATCTTCTTCAATTTCAGTCGAAGGAGTAGGTGCAGAGGGTACCTGACTAACATTCGTACTCATTCGTTCCGCATATAAATAATACATTTTACATAATATTTGCTCTAAATTTTTATAGGTGATAGGTGTATCAAGTATTAAGGTTTTGTTGATTTGATCAATTATGTATTTTGTTCTCGATATATTATAACGGGGGTCCATTGCGCATGTTAAAGAAAATAACATAGGCAGTTCTTCCTAATATTTTTTAAACTTTAATTCCATAGCAATTATAATTTCACTAAAATCATGATCATTTTTATATTTATTGAATTTGTAAGCTAGTTCATTCCAAGTAATTATGCTCGCAACGAGAAGTGAATTCAGCCATTCGAGTGCTTTATCCCATAAAGTATGTAGGAATAACTTTAGCCTAATAGCATCGTCTGAAATTCCTTGATACCTGAAGTGTTAGCACATATCCAAGAATCGGGATATATGTGTATGTGGATTTTCATTAGCCATTTTGTAGAAATGATGCCTATTCTAAAAGATTTGGATGACTTTTGTTTTCAGCTGAAAGTTGGGATATATTTCTTCTTAAAATATATTTTTTATCCTTTTATTAATATCTTTGCCCCGGTAGACTCATTCCTAACCCTTTCTCTCTAAAAATGATTCCTTCATAGGAGAAGCATATCTCCGTCAATTTTCTTTTAGTTTTGATTTTCAAAACGTCTGTTGAAAGCTCAACCTTCAATTTTAGGAATTTGTTGAATGATCAAATAAGCTCGCAATTCTTAGTTCAAACTGTTGCAGATTTCAACTTAGTTGTTTTAATTTTTCTCTCTAATTCCATATAGGCTATAGCTAATAATTTCCTGAAGTATTTGAAAAAGATACTAGAATTTTCTTTCCTTATAGATACTTCGTTTTTTAACACAAAAACTCTTTCCCACCCCAACCACTACTCTCCTCTCTTCTCGTTGATTCTTCGTTGTTGTTATTCTCCTTCTCCAGTAACTAAATCTATTTTAGTACAAGATCCAAGTAAGTTAGTAGGGCAACAAGCTATGAGTGTAAGCAATTTTGGGGCGGCATGTTATTACGGTCCAAGTTAAGAATTATCAATGGAGCCCCTATCTTGCGAGAGGCATGTTATAGATAAAGTTCTACATAGCTCATACAACTCTTCTTCACAATCCTAGCTAGCATGCATTAACTTATTACTATTACTATTCATACCACAAATAATAGTAAGTAATTATTTCCCCATAGCTATCAATAATTTTTATGTTTTGCCATTTACAATCATCATAGAACTGTTCTTGAATAATAGTAAATAATCATTGCAACTTCAAAATTTAAAAAGAACTTCGTGTTTTTTGACGAACTATGACTTTTCCACGTTGTACAGTAAGTCCCATGTAGACCTATGATAAAGAGTTGGTTGGAATGCTCTGTGGTTTAAAATGGTTAAGGCTCCATCAATAATTAAAGAAGAGTCTCTCTCAAGCATTTAAAGGTGCCTAAACGCCGCTTTCTTCCTCCACGCGTTCCATTCTCTATTAACGAAGTTCTAATCATACAATGTATACTTACCCACGCTTTGATGTTTTTGTGGTATGCACTCGCGCGCGCGCGTGCACACACACATATATATACACATGACAGATACATCTATTTCGTGTACCTAATTACTTGCATCGTCTACAATAAGATTGAGAACATATTGCACTTTTCTTATTTTTCCTTGTAAGTTTATTATGATTTTGAATTTGATTACAGGCTCATGTGAAAAAGAATTCAAAAATACACGATAAAATATGATCATCGTATAAGATGTCATAGCAAGTATCTAATAGTAATGTTATAGCAAGTAAATAATAACAGTAACAATTGCGAATAGCATAGTTTTTGGTTTTTCTTTCCAAAAATAATAATTTGCTTTCACAAATAGAAGCATTTTATATTTTCAAAGTAAAACATTCATAAATATAGTAAATATGAGTGCTTAATATCTTTGATCAGTTCAAAGTAATAATATAAAGAATTATTTTGTTTATCTTATAAAAATGATTAAAATTTAATTTTTTTTTAATTAAACCAATACTCGAGTTAGCATAGGTTAGTAAGAACAAAAGGGAATAAAGAATTTATTATTATTATTATTATTTGCCCCTCAAGGCACGGCTCAACTGGTGAATTAATCAACATTGTCTTGCTTCCAGCGGCAGGGTGGAGAGTTCGATTCCTGGTGGGAACCTACGGCCAAAAAATTTGTTATGGAGCAATTATTGTGGAAGAGGGTCTCTTATGCGCAGAAGTGTACAAGTATTGGGGGGAACCTGTGATCCAGTTGAGGCATAACCCGCGATTTACCCCCTCCAAGGTTCTAGGGACAAAGGTCTTGGGGGTCCAGGATTTAGTCTGATGTAAGTTGGGATACCTGGATATCAAAAAAAAAAAAGGGAATAAAGTACAACTCGAAACACGAACACGGTCAGAACTCCTACACAATAAACTTAAAAAAGAGTCAGAATCATAAGAATAAATTAAAAATTTCATATGCTCATGTCATCAAGCAGCTCGTAAAGTATTTGATAAATTCATGACCGCTGTTTGAACTAGCTTACGAAGATTCTCATATCTTATTAGAGCCAAATAGTATATCACACTATTTGGGAAGATGCTACACCTACATAAGGGTGTACGT